CCTCTCAAAACAGATCTCCTAGTCTTCCCCCCAGCCCGCACACCACCCCCCACTGACTTTTCCATCACGTACAACAATGCCACCATCTGGCCCGCCCCGCAGGCCAGAATACTTGGTGTCATTCTTGACTCCAATCTATCCTTCCAGCCCCTAGTCCAATCACAAACTCATGCAGACTCCACCTCCGCAACATGGCCAAATACGCACGTTCCTAACCCCAGAAACCACTAAGCAGCTCATCCACTCCCTCATCATATCACGACTCGATTACTGCAACTCCCTCCTCACTGACCTGCCTCGCCACAGGCTATCCCCACTTCAGTCGATCCTGAATACGGCTGCCAGACTCATCCACCTTACCAACCGCTCCATCTCCGCCACCCCCCCCTCTGCCAATCCCTCCACTGGCTTCCGATTGCCCAAAGGATCAAATTCAAAATCCTAACACTGACGTACAACGCTGTCCATCATACTGCCCCAAACTACATCACCGACCTAATATCCAAGTACCACCCTACACGCACTCTCCGCTCCTCACAAGACCTCCTTCTCTCTAGTCTCCTCCTCCCATGCCCACCTCCAGGACGTCACCCTACTCTGGAACTCTCTACCCCAATCCTTCAGACTATCACCTACTCTCCTCTCCTTTAGGCGCATCCTGAAAACCCACCTCTTCAGGGAAGCCTACCCCACCCCCTGCTAATTCCCGACCTCCTCCACTCTTCCTACCACTCCATCCCCCCCAGCTATTTCCTCCTGTACCACTATCCCCTCCCTCCTAGATTGTAAGCTCCAAGGAGCAGGGCCCTCGAACCCCTCGTGTATCGCACTGTATTGTTACTGTACTGTTGCATGTTCTGTCTCCCATTGTAATGTACAGCGCTGAGCAAACTGTTGGCGCTTTATAAATACTCTAAAATAATAATAAATAATAATGTGTTGGTGTACCCACACTGCCGGTGCAGTGCAGTGTACCCGCAGCTTTCCTGCTCTTAGACATAGACTTCTATTATATCCTGAGAATATGGCGCACTTTCTGAAAGCACACCAAAACTCCTTGTATATTCCACATTAAAAAAAGAATCAGAAAGCAGCCATCACTACAAACTGTGCACTCATCACACAACAGAAAAAATATTACAAACAGTAAAGTGTTATCATTGCAAAGACCCCAAAACATTAAATTATAAATACTATCTAAATGTGTGTGTGTGAAATATACACACATATATATATATATATATATATATATATATAATAAATATTAAGATACACTATATTGTCAAAAGTATTGGGATGCCTGCCTTTACACGCACATGAACTTTAATGGCATCCCAGTGTTAGTCCATAGGGTTCAATATTGAGTTGGCCCACCCTTTGCACCTATAACAGCTTCAACTCTTCTGGGAAGGATGTCCACAAGGTTTAGGAGTGTGTCTATGGGAATGTTTGACCATTCTTCCCGAAGTGTATTTGTGAGGTCAGGCACTGATGTCGGACGAGAAGGCCTGGCTCGCAGTCTCTGCTCTAATTCATCCCAAAGGTGTTCTATCGGGTTGAGGTCAGGTCTCTGTGCAGGCCAGTCAAGTTCCTCCACCCTAAACTCGCTCATCCATGTCTTTATGGACCTTGCTTTGTGCACTGGTGCGTAGTCATATTGGAACAGAAAGGGGCCATACCCAAACTGTTCCAACAAAGCTGGGAGCATGAAATTGTCCAAAATGTCTTGGTATGCTGACACCTTAAGGAGTTCCCTTCATTGGAACTAAAGGGCCAAACCCAACCCCTGAAAAACAACCCCACAACATAATCCCCTCTCTACCAAACTTTACACTGGACACAATGCACTCAGGCAAGTACCGTTCTCCTGGCAACCGCCAAACCCATCCATTGGATTGCCAGACAAAGAAGCGTGATTGGTGACTCCAGAGAACACATCTCCACTGCTCTAGAGTCCAGTGGTGGCGTGCTTTACACCACTGCATCCAACGCTTTGCATTGCACTTGGGGATGTAAGGCTTGGATGCAGCTGCGCTGCCATAGAAACCCATTCCATGAACCTCTCCAAGCACTGTTGTGCTAATCTGAAGTCCACACGAAATTTGGAGGTCTTTAGCTACTGACTTTGCAGACATTTGGTGACTTCTACACACTGTTCGCTGACCCCGCTCTGTCACTTTATGTGGCATATCACTTGGTGGCTGAGTTGTTGTTGTTGTTGTTCCCAGTTGTTTCCACTTTGTTATAATACCACTAACAGTTGACGGTGGAATATTTAGTAGCAAGGAAATTTCACGGATGGACTTATTGCACAGGTGGCAACCTACCATGGTACCACGCTTGACTTCACTGAGCTCCTGAGAGAAACCCATTCTTTCACAAATGTTTGTAGAAGCAGTCTGCATGCCTAGGTGCTTGATTTTATACACTTGTGGCCATGGAGGTGATTGGAACACCTGAATCCAATGATCTGAGCAAACAAAATACTGGTAGTGCAGATTGTTCTCACAATTTTTTTTACATCACAGAAACCTCACATTTTCACAGGGGTGTGTAGACTTTTTATATCCACTGTATATAATATGATTTACCATATCCTAACAGAATATATATATATATAATTTATTTCAGGTACTTATATAGCGCCGTCAATGTACAAAGCGCTTTACATATATATTGTACATTCACATCAGTCCCTAACCCTCAAGGGGCATAAAATCTAACACACACACACACACTTAGATAGTGTTTAGAATTTATTGATTTGGGGTCTTTGCACTGATAGCGCTTCATGGTTGGTAATATTATTCCAAGACACCTTAGCGCCTTGTATTTTTAAAAAATAAATAAAAGGAGTTCTTTGATTGAATGTGGCAGCGGTAGTGCTGTCACTAACCCTTCTCTCCACCTTGTCCAATTAGAGAATTCTGTGCATTCACAGAAAAAAATATAGGGTGTTCTTTGAATGGTGGCAGCACCAGGTAAGTCACCCGCTGTGGTTGGTGTGCAGTCAGCACAGGACCTAGGAAACCATAAAGATCATTGTAGTAGTGCCAACTGCTACAGTGAGTGTCCCCTCCCCCAGCAACCCATCAGGTGTAGCTGATATCCAGTCCACGCTGGAACAATATACAGTTGCAAGAAAAAGTATGTGAACCCTTTGGGATTACGTGGAGTTTTGCATGAATTGGGAATAAAATGTGCTCTGAACGTCATCTAAGTCACAACAATAGAAGAACACAGTCTGCTGAACATAATACTACACAAACATTAGAGGATGCCATGGTTTAATTGCACATAACATGTAAACATTCACAGTGCAGGGAGGAAAAAAGTATGTGAGCCCTAGCTTAATGACTTTTCCCAGAGGTAATTGGAGCCAGGAGTGAGCCAACCTTGACTCCAATCAGTGTGATGATATTGGATGTGTTGCTGACAGCTGTCCTGCCCTTAAAAAACACACACCTGTTTTGGGTTTACTGGTTTCAAGAAGCACTGTCTGATGTGAACCATGCCTCGCAGAAAAGAGCTCTCAGAAGACCTACGATCAAGAATTGTTGACTTGCATGAAGCTGGAAAGGGTTACAAAAGTATCTCCAAAAGCCTTGATGTTCATGTGTCCACGGTAAGACAGACTGTCTACAAATGGAGAAAGTTTAGCACTGTTGCTACTCTCCCTAGGCGTGGTCGTCCTGTAAAAATGACTGCAAGAGCACAGCGCAGAATGCTGCATGAGGTAAAGAAGAATCCCAAAGTGTCAGCTAAAGACCTACAGAAATCTCTGGCACATGCTAACATTTTTGTTGACACATCTACAATAAGGAAAACATTAAACAAGAATGGAGTACATGGGAGGACACCACGGAGGAAGCCATTGCTGTCCAAAAAGAATATTGCAGCACGTTTGAAATTTACAAAAGAGCACCTGGATGTTCCACAGCACTACTGGCAAAATATACTGTGGACAGATGAAACCAAGATTGAGTTGTTTGAGAAGAACACACAACACTATGTGTGGAGAAAAAAAGGCACAGCACACCAACATCAAAACCTCATCCCCACTGTAAAACATGGCGGAGGGAGCATCATGGTTTGGGGCTGCTTTGCTGCCTCAGGGCCTGGACGGATTGTTGTCATTGATGGGAAAATGAATTCCAGAGTTTATCAAGACATTTTGCAGGAAAACGTACGACCATCTGTCCGCCAACTGAAGCTCTGCAGAGGATGGGTGATGCAACAGGACAATGACCCAAAGCATACAAATAATTCAACAAAACAATGGCTGCAACAGCACAGAATACGCCTTCTGGAGTGGCCCAGTTAGAGTCCTGACCTCAACCCGATTGAAATGCTGTGGCATGACCTTAAGAGAGCGATTCACACCAGACATCCCAAGAATATTGCTACACTGAAACAGTTTTGTGAAGAGGAGTGATCCAAAATGACTCCAGATCGTTGTGCAGGTCTGATCTGCAACTACAGGAAACGTTTGGTTGAGGTTATTGCTGCCAAAGGAGGGTCAACCAGTTATTAAGTCCAAAGGTTCACATACTTTTTCCTCCCTGCACTGTGAATGTTTACATGTTATGTGCAATTAAACCATGGCAACATCTAATGTTTGTGTAGTATTATGTTTAGCAGACTGTGTTCTTCTATTGTTGTGACTTAGATGACGTTCAGAGCACATTGTATGCCCAATTCATGCAAAACTCCACGTAATCCCAAGGGGTTCACATACTTTTCTTGCAACTGTAAGTGTGCAATGATGATCCCATGGAGCTCAGATTTAAAGGGATGCCATGGCCCTCCCCTCTGCACCCCAGAGATGACGGACAGTTGGAAGTCTGTCTGTCCCCTGCTTCTCTTCCCGACAAATCCTGGGACAGTCCCGGCTGGAACGAAGAATCTGGTGACAGAACGTGCGAACCATAGAGATGGGAGCTAGATCGATGCCTGCACTGTTACCTGGAACACACACAGCGCTCCGCTCCCGCACTCACCTTGTCCTCAGCACTCCCACAGATCTCTGCGGCCGAGTTGTATACATGACACCGAACGATCGTACTGCCCACATCCACCGCCAACACCAGCCGCTCCCGGTACCCGTTCCGGACCGATCCCATCCTCAGGATGACAGGATACTCTTTGGGTGGAGCTGGGCAGTTCTCCGGGGTGGGGCCGTCCTCAATGGAACCATGTTTACAGGGGGCGGAGCCGAGGAAGCGAAACTTGTCAATGAGAGCGACCATATTAACTTCTGGCAGATCAAGTAGGTTGCTGCTAAGCCGCCATTTTTACTAAGGGCACTTTTATTATCACGTGTTGATTGTTGGCTATTAGCTGTTTTTGGCTATTAGGTACCCTGTTCCAAACCACTAACTGGGCAGTAAACCTATCTCTTGCCAACTGGGGAATTTTTAACAGTTTTCACAGACTGTACATGTTAAAGTGGTTCTAACTTCGCCCCAAACGGGTTGCAGCCCCAATCCTCTTCTTTTGGGGTCCCCTCTGCCGTTCCTGGCTCCTCCTCTTTGGTGAGCACTCCATAGAAAGGCTCTTTCTCTAGGGGCGCACATGTGGGTTTGATCATGCGCTGCGAGATTATATATAAAAAAAAAGGACTTTATAATCACAGTGGTTCTAAAGACAAAACATTTTTTACCTGAAAGCGAAGCTCCAGTTACAATATAAAAAAATAAAAGTCAGCAACTACAAACTCTGCAGTTGCTGACTTGTAAAAAACAGACACCTGTCCTCACCTGTCCATCAATCCAGAGGTGTCCTCACCACAGCTGGATTCACTGGCAGTCTTCTCTCCCTGGTACCGGCATCTTCAGGGTGGGCACCTGGCTGTGACAGCTTGTGGCTTCATAGCTGTGCCCACTGCACATGAGAGAAGCGCTGAAGTTTGTCAATGGACTGTAGTCTTCTGGGACCTCACCTGTCCCAGAAGACTACGGGGAGGGAAAAAGAGAGGACAACCTCTGCTTCCCATCGCCCTGGAAGTGGAAATCGTAGCAGAAGTGGGAGCCCGTGCCTGTCAAAATTGGTTACCCGCTCACCAAAGATGCCAATCCTTAACAGGGATCGGGGGATAAAGCCTTAAAGCTGAATTCCCTCTTTTGAGTGGAGCTCAGCTTTAATGTATTCCTTGCATTAACCACTTCCAGACCGGACACTTTTACCCCCTTCCTGACCAGGGCAATTTTCAGCTTTTAGCGCTATCACACTTTGAATGACAATTGCGCGGTCATGCAACACTGTACCCAAATGACTTTTTTACCATTTTTTTGAGACAGATAAAGCTTTATTTTGGTGGTATTTATTCACCACTGGGATTTGTATTTTTTTTGCTATGTAAATGAAATGTCCAAAAATTTTGAAAAAAAGTGTTTTTTTTTATAAAATTTTGCAAATAAATAATATTTCATCATAAATCTTAGCCAAAATTTATTCCGTTATCTTTTTAGTGAAAAAAAAAATCCAAATTAGTTTATAAGAAAAAATTATAATTTTTAAACATTTTTTTTTACATTTTTATTTTATTTTTTTATATTATTATTTTTTTTTTTTATTTTTTTTTTTTACATACGGTCACCCTAGCAGTACAGTGTCACCATGGTGACACTGTACTACTTGTGGGGGGTGATGAAGATTTTTTTATTTTTTTTTACACTGATTGCTTTTACACCCATATAGGGTGTAAAAGCAATCATTTCTCTTTCTGTGTGCATTCTTGCACTCATTGAGAAGTACTGAGTGAGCTGTGATTGGTCACAGCTTGTCACATGGTACAAGGCTTTTGTGACTAGCCTTGTACCATGTGACCTCTGTGATCATTCACGGATTTCACACGTAGTAAGCAATGATGTTACAAGTGACATCTTGCTTACTACTTTGCATGTGATCACTGATTGGCCAATCAGTGATCACATGATCGGGACCTCGTACAGAGGTCCCGTCCGACGATCGGTGTTTCACTGTGTCCGGAGGACACAGCGGGCACCAGATCGCGGTGCTGCGCGCTCCCAGGGAGCGCGCACAAGCAGGGTGCGGGGAGGCCGTTTATAGACGGCCACCCGACCCTGCAGTGCCACCGTCCGGCCGTTTATATACAACGGCCGGACGGGAAGTGGTTAAGGTAAAAAAAATTTAGACATCTGTTTTGGCCCCTCACCCCCCTTTAACGTAACCGAGCACTCATTTGATCCAGAGCTGTGCACACCTACAGCTCTTCTCTCCTCTCACATCCATGTCTCTTTGGCTTTGCTGGGACACCAGGAGCCACTGGCTCCCGCTGCTGTCAATCAAAGCAAGTGACGAGGGAGCGGGGGGCTGGGCCAAGTCCCACTGTCTGTGTCAATGAATGCAGCAGCGGGGCTTGGGAGCGAGCCTGCATGACTGCCCCCATTGGAAGCGGCTTCCCATGGGGCACTGGACAGAGTGGAGGGGCCAGGTGCGCTGGCAGGGGACAGAAGAGGAGGATTGTGGTCACTTGTGCAATTCCATTGTGCAGAGCAGGTAAGTATAGACATATTTGTTTGTTTAATTTTACCTTTACAATCATTTTCAGCCACTCTTTCTTTAGCCAAAAAAGTTTTAGAAAAAGTTTTGCCTCCAATTCTACCCTGAGCCCTGGTTCACATGTATGTGAGTTGGGTGCTTTTTTAAACCGCATGGCATTTGACCCTGCAGCCTTCCCAGTGAAGCCAGTTCACATATGTGCGGACCGGGAGCAGCGCGTTTTCACAGAGTCTGGTATGATTTTGAACCCAGTTCAGGTACGATTTCCATTGTCATACACTTTGACAATTCGCACCTGAATCACTGAGCAAAGTCGCACCGGAGGGGGCTGTCAAAACAAGCCCACACATATGTGAACCCAGGCGAAGGCTTCATTTAAAGTGTTACTAAACCCACAACAGTAAAATCAGTTTATATTTGCAGTAAAGCATGCTTGTTATACTCACTATACTTAACCTAAGGGGTTAATCATCCACATTGTGTAAAAAGGCTGTTTGATCTTTCCTTCTCTGATCCTCCCCTTATTCTACTGTTCCCAATCCATCTGCTGATAGAGCCTTGGGGGCAAGCTGCACATGCTCAGTTTGGTGTGTATTGCTAGATACATTTTTTTTTTTTCTTGGAAGAGTGCATGTGATCAGCACAGGGTCAATCAGCACTGTCCAGACAGAGGGTCAGGGGTTATGCAGCCTCATAGACAGGGGAGAATGAAAACTCATAATACAAGCTTTAACCAGTGCTCTGCTGGACACTGATATAAGTCACAAGACTGCTATATACTGCTGATGAGAAAAGGTACTAGAATAATTGCATGTCCATGTTTTGTGTACTGTGGGAGACCAGAAATAGTGAATGCAGGGGCCTGGGTTTAGTAACACTTTAATGTAACCCACATAAGCTGCAATAGGTAGTGCATGGGGGTGTATACATTCTTCATTTGCGCCTGCAGCAAAGTTCGCTCAATGTGTAGTGATTAGCGGGTGGCAATGCTACAATATTGCAAACACCCCACAGCCATCGGTGGTGCTTTTGCTGCCAAAAATATTGTTACAAAATGGTTGGTGAGGTGGTGTCACATTGCTTCCTCACCGACTGTCAGGAACCTCTGAAGTGCGATCCAAAAGCGGATCAGGCTTCAGCAGAAATGGAGATTTAGACACATATCTAAACCTACACTAATACTGGCTCACTAAACCCCCTTCCCCACAGCTGACCTCTAAAATACAAGTAGACCAGTCACCAGGGAGACCAGTGACATATAAATACTGTATATATATATAGTAATGAATTCTATGACATGTACAGTCAGTCGAGGTCTTTGGGAAAATGGCGGCTAATGCTGGACACAATGCAGACATGTCGGTAGAGCGGATTGGTGAGCTCTAGTGACGGGAGGTGAGAGCAGTGAGCCGGAGAGCTTTGGGTCTCTATTGGTATGTAGTTTGGCGCCAGAAGGGTGAGGTAAAGTCTGGTATGTGGAGGGTCTGCGGTGACTGAGTGGGGGTGTTGCGGCCTTCCAGTCCTGGATCGGGAGGTGAGGTTATTGGGGTGTCCGGCCTGACATGGAATGGAGCTCATTGGGCGAATGCTGGTCATTGGACATGTACAGACAAGTCAGTGACAGGAGGGGGAAGGGAAGTGTGTATAGGCTCTCCTGTTTGTGTAGAACATCTACAGAAGGTGAGGGGAGACACTGACATAGACAGTCTTTGTGGATGAAGGTGCCCTCCTGTATGAACCTATAGTGGCAGACTGGGATCAGTACAAGACACATTGTATGTGGCCCCTTCTGGATGTACAAGACACATTGTATGTGGCCCCTTCTGGGATCAGTACAAGACACATTGTATGTGGCCCCTTCTGGGATCAGTACAAGAAACTCACATTGTATGTGGCCCCTTCTGGGATCAGTACAAGACACATTGTATGTGGCCCCTTCTGGGATTAGTACAAGACACTCACATTGTATGTGGCCCCTTCTGGATCAGTACAAGTGCACTCACATTGTATGTGGCCCCTTCTGGGATCAGTACAAGTGCACTCACATTGTATGTGGCCCCTTCTGGGATCAGTACAAGACACATTGTATGTGGCCCCTTCTGGGATCAGTACAAGACACTCACATTGTATGTGGCCCCTTCTGGGATCAGTACAAGACACTCACATTGTATGTGGCCCCTTCTGGGATTAGTACAAGACACTCACATTGTATGTGGCCCCTTCTGGGATCAGTACAAGACACTCACATTGTATGTGGCCCCTTCTGGGATCAGTACAAGACACTCACATTGTATGTGGCCCCTTCTGGGATCAGTACAAGACACTCACATTGTACCCCTTCTGGGATCAGTACAAGACACTCACATTGTATGTGGCCCCTTCTGGGATTAGTACAAGCACTCACATTGTATGTGGCCCCTTCTGGGATCAGTACAAGTGCACTCACATTGTATGTGGCCCCTTCTGGGATCAGTACAAGTGCACTCACATTGTATGTGGCCCCTTCTGGGATCAGTACAAGACACTCACATTGTATGTGGCCCCTTCTGGGATCAGTACAAGACACTCACATTGTATGTGGCCCCTTCTGGGATCA